AAGGTCCTTTCCAACCTAGTGTTTCTGTGTTCTGTGTTCTGTGTTCTAACAAGGCCAAGTGCTGGGTCCTGCACTTTGGTCACAACAACCCCATGCAATGCTACAGGCTTTGGGAAGAGTGGCTGGGGAGCTGCCTGGCGGAAAAGGACCTGGGGGTGCTGGTTGACAGCCAGCTGAACATGAGCCAGCAGTGTTGCCCTGGGGGTGCTGGTTGACAGCCGGCTGAATATGAGCCGGCAGTGTGCCCAGGTGGCCAAGAAGGCCAACAGCGTCCTGGCCTATATCAGAAGTAGTGTGGCCAGCAGGAGTAGGGAGATGATCGTGCCCCTGTACTTGGCACTGGCCGCACCTTGAATCCTGTGTTCGGTTTTGGGCCCCTCACTACAAGAAGGACGTTGAGGTGCTGGATTGTGTCCAAAGAAGGGCAACGAAGCTGATGAGGGGTCTGGAGGACAAGTCTTATGAGAAGTGGCTGCGGGAACTGGAGTTGTTCAGTCTGGAGAAGAGGAGGCTGAGGGGAGACCTCATTGCTCTCTACAACTACCTGAAAGGGGGTTGTGGTGAGGTGGGCGTTGGTCTCTTCTCCCAAGTAACTAATGATAGAACAAGAGTAAATGGCCTCAAATTGCACCAGGGGAGGTTTAGACTAGATATTAGGAAAGATTTCTGTACTGATACAGTGGTGAAGCATTGGAACAGGCTGCCCAGGGAGATGGTGGAATCACCATCACTGGAAGTATTAAAAAAAACATGTAGATGTGGCAGTTGGGGACATGGTTTAGTGGGCATGGTGGTGTTGGGTTGATGGTTGGACTTGATGATCTTAAAGATCTTCTTCAACCTTAATGATTCTGTGATTCTGTGATTCTGTGATACTTGGTTTGGCACAATCTGACAGGAAAAAAATCCATCTTGCAATTTTATGTCTATGTTTGTTTTAAACACCGTTGAAGCCATCATAATAGGTCTTTACAAAGTCAGTGCTTTGAAATACATGACTGGAGGTTTGGGATACCAACCTCCCTAAAACCAGACTGTCAAACTTGGTCAAATCATTGCTTTTGCATCATCTGACACTTCCTGTTGTCAGCATTCATGGCTTGGGTCATTTCCACAGGGAGCCCCCTAACAATGCATTTTCTTTTGCATAATCACACTATTCATCCTCACAAATGTCGGATGTTGTTCAGAGCCATGCTAGCACTTCAGAGAAGTAAACCGAGATGGATGGACTAACCCAAGCTACAAACTGGCTCCGTGTTTTGCACAGATTGTGGTTCTGCCTGAGTATGTAGAAGGAATATAGATCTGCAAATTAAGTAATGCCCTTATAATGGAGAAATGTTTCTGCAGGCAAATGGACTCCTGTAAGCAGAGTGCTGAATCTCTGCTTCCAAGTCCCCTGGCTGCAGAGGACCTCACTGACTGTAGTAGGAGTTTCAAATGCAGGACTGAACTCCTGATTGCCAAAGCCCTTACTAATGCCTTGTCCCCAAGAGGTGGGTGTCACATTCCCCATCACATGGTGGGTGTGTGTGTCTAGAGCTCGAGGTCACGATCCTGGCAGAGGTACATGCGTAGCAGGGATGTGGCAGCTGTGGCTGATGGCAGGGATGAACTGGGCATGAGACTGTGACTAGGGATTGTCACTCCCAGGACAAATCCCTGGAGGTTCATGGCCCTGCGAGATGGCACCTGCTCCTCTGCTGTTGACTGGTGTCACAGCTGCTGTGCCCGCTACATGGGTCCCTGTGCCAAGTACAGCTAGTTCATGGATCCCAACCTACAGACCAAGAGCTGCACAGCAGGCATGCAAGGTCCCTCGCAGGCAGCAGACACGCACTCTGAAGTATAAATTGTGGCAGGGGAGTAAGCGATGGGTGGCATCTGCATGAGACTTAACTGGGCTGATAAGGGTAAATGTAAATGTACTGGCAGAAGCCAGTGCTAGCAAGAAAATTAGAGATATCCAGATGACTATTACTGCTGCCTTTTAATAGGAGAGATCCTTATTTGAAACATCTATCTCCATTAACTTCTTGTGGCTTACTCTGTAAGGTAAAGCATAGATGAGCCTAGGTTTCAGGTGAATTTGGTAAATATAGAATTACAACTTTGTATTATTATATAGACATATAAAGCATGCTTAGTTATGATGTCATGACAGATGACATGACAAAGATGTTAAATGCATGAAAGATTACAATTTTTTGCTTCCATTTATAAATCTGTGATCTTGAATTTTGATTATGTTTCTGTTAAATTTATCAATTATTATTTTAAAAGATTTTAAGAAGTATGTTTCATAAACACTTCTTTTAATAGTAAACATTCTATTTCTTTAATGACTATCTAGACCAGACAGGTCATACAATAATGACATCTTTTAGGGAACAAAGGACTTTACAGACTGAGATAAAAGCTTAATTTTGTGGTCCCTTCACATGAGGAGTCAGTAAAATCATGGGCTTGGGAAAGTGTCGAGGCCACATAAAAACTGAGATTAATGGTGTCAACAGGTTATGTGAGTTTTGACTGTGATGGATTTTGCTTTTGATTATAATTGGTACAAGATGGTCTAGTTACACTTTGGGATGGAGAGAAATATCTTATTCAAGTTTTCCTACTCAGTATCATCATGTAAATTACACACAGCTGCAATTTAAGAAAGTAGTTTAGGTGAAATAAATGATATACCTCTGTCAAAATCAATTTCTCGGATTATCTTCTCTTCTCTACTGAGGTTCACTGTGAATTGGTTCATATTTTCATACCCATCCTCTATTTTTTCCATTTGAAATCCTTTAGATGCTTCAGTAATTCTAAAACAGAGAGATTGGTTATTGGCATTTGGATTTGCAGATACAGTTGTAATTTGTAATTCATTATAAAGATAGAGAGTCTCAAGTTTAAATACTTACTTTTGTAGCAATGTTTTGGCATTCTGTGAAAACAAAAAGGAAATAACTGACTTCTTAAATGGTTCCATTTTTTCAGAGATTTTATGCATTGAGATTTAATTCTTACACTGGCTGCTTCTAAACACATTAATATGGATCTCATAAATGGCAACCATGAGATCTATAAATGAGATCAAATTTGGGTGGTAATTAGTATACGGCTGAGTAAACCTTTAAGTACATTGAAGACTTTTTAATTAAAATCTGAATATGATAGGAAATATGTACAATTTCTACAAAAATTAAATGGAAATATTTTTGCTTTTTTTTTGTGTGTTTGTGGTGAAAAGCAATTGTTCCGTTGCCATCTTTAGTCACAGTAACTGTATCTTTGAGTGTCCGTAAGGGCATACTTCTGGAAACACAAAATTTTATTTGTCTGGAAAAAATATTGTACTCTTCAAAGGGAATTCTTTGATGAAAATAAAGGTGTTTTTTTTAGAAAACACCTTTCCAGCCTTGAATATAGAGGAATAGTAAACTTGCAGGACAGAAATTCTACACTAATTAATTCAGTGTACAAACTGCTAATGGTTTCCTAATCAGCTCTCCTAAGTTTATAGTAAGAAAACAGAAGGGGAAAAAAATTAAGTAAAGCCATAAAAATGTGACTTAGAACATAAATATTTATTCTTGGGAAATTAGTCACTCTGTCAATATGCATATGAAATCCATAACTCACTGAATTTCATATACATATGTATTATAGTGATGGGACAATAAATATATGTTGGAAAGTGTTAAAATTCGTGTTTCTTCTTTGGGGACCAGAAATTCATACACAGGGTAGTAGATTTTGGTGCAAATAGCAAATACTCACGTTCTTGGTTTGGATACTATTCACAAGAAGACTAGTCATTTGTCTGTGCTGATGCAAGTGTTTAAAAAATGAGTTTGTGTAAATGTTCACTCAAAGATGACCAAACTCTGAATGTGCCTAAAATCAAGAAATGCTTAAATAGTATTTTGATAAACCCATCATTCTTTTTCTATCTCCATTTATAGACTTTATACCTGCAAAAACACAGCCATTTCTGGCTCTTCCATGAACTGGATTCCTGATTCAACCAGCTTCGATACAGCTTCCAAATGATCCGCATACTTCTTCATCAGGGAGCGGACATGTTCCAGTTTCTCCTCCTGGGTTCTAGTGATTATTTGTGTCATCTCATTTTTTCTTTCTTCCAGTACAGAATAGAGATAATCAAATTTTTCACACAGCTGCTCTTTCTGTCGTCTGCAGCATTCCTGTGAATCATTTGGTTTATGTTAAAGATGTTAGGTTCTTAAAAGAGTTTCTATTTTTACAGTTACTTGGAAGCATTTTCATCAAAGAAATTCCTCTTTCTGAACACTGCAAAGGATTCTGAATGACCCCGGAGACTTTTATAATTTTCAAAGTCCAAGCTATTGGAACAAAAGTTTTAAAACTGTTCTCAAACTCTGAGTTTCAAGCCACTGAAAACCCCCAAACAGGTTATTGTATAACTTGCCAGTCTGCTAAAAAATTGTGAAAGGTATTTTCGATGTCTGTAGTGATACATCAAAGCCTGCAGAAAAGAGTAAAAACCCTCACCATATTAGCAGTTGGGTTCATTTGCATGAACAGAATGGTTTCTAAATGAGCGATCATCTCAAATCAGCTCTGGAGAAATTTCTTTTTCTACCAGAGAACCTGGAACTATCCTGGCTAGGTTTGATTTTCACATACACACTCTTAGACTCTATTTTGACAGTAAGTGTCTATTATTTTCCATTTACTGTGCGCTGAATGAGGTAAAGGTTCCACGAAGATGGTGTGTGACAAAGCACAGAGACAAGAAAGAGGAACCAGGTTCCAGCCCTACCTTCAGACACTGATTTTCACATCAGTTTTTGAGACACTTTTATTGTCCCTCCAACCAGACAACGTCGTGTATTCCACTGAGTAAGGAGCATGGGTTTGATGACTGCTTCATTGAGTGCTCTCTAACAAGAACACACTGCACTTGCAAAGGAGGATTTATGGGGAGGAAATCAGAGACAGGTTATCTATAATGTCTGAGGTCTACCAAATAGAAGTACTTGAGTCATCTCTGTGCCCCAGGGCACACAGATGGGCATAACCTTATTGTGGTTATATCTAGTTGTGGATGATGGTGATTATTCAAAACTCTTTCTTAGGAACTGAGGCTGAATCAATTCCTCATCTTCGTCCCTTGAGGCATAATGCTGAGATCCTGGCAGCACAGGATTATTAACAAGTCCCATGGTACTTTTGGAAGTGATAAGACTGATTATTCATAGCACTTGGCCAGAGAGAATCCAACTTTTTTCTTGACTTTCAGCCAGAGCTCTCTCCTACAAGTGGTGACAGTCTGCTCTGTATTGTTCAAAGGAGAAAGCCTTTCAAAGATGAATGTGTGGCCAAAAATCACTGTCTACATCGAGGAGTGGGGAGCAAATATAGATCTTGTTGGGTTGATCCAAGTATCCACCCCTGCTTCCCAATGAGGAAGACTAGGCTAAACAGGCACTCCTAATTTAAAACTCTTTGCAGGGTGCAGGCTTGTCCTGCCCTTCTGGAGGTCCCTGCCACTTCCCAGAAATTCCTGATTAGTGAATTATAGGGTGGGGATAAGGAAGCTTTTGAATCAAGTGAATCACGGTTCCTGAGTGTCATTCTATTGTTCAGACCTCGAATAATCTTCCTCTCCTCTTTCACTCCTTCCTCTAGCTTTCTCCCAGTTTCCTGCACTTCCACTTGCTCCACACTCCTCTTCAGTTTAGCCTACAATGACCTCCTCTGAAACGTCATTCAGATCACTTGTAAAACAAGCTTAATTTCAGGACACGTGTGTGCTATCTTTGCCATTTGACACAGAACAAGCGTTTGGGGAAGAAGAGCAAGAGAATGATAACAGGGTACCTTGAGAGGTCCTTCCCCATCTCTAAGCTCTAATATATAGTATTTCCTGCCAGCAGATATCACAGACTTGTGAATCTCAAGAGTGAGAGTGCAAAATAAGTTCCTAACTGCAAATGCTGAAATATTTCTGAAATACTATCTTTCTGTATAAAATGTTCCCACATGAAGTCTCTGCCTGATAGAATTACCCTAATCAGATTCTGAGTAATGAAAAAGGTTAACAAATACATGACTTTCCATTCTAAAAAGTTCTCAGCCTTTTTTTTTTTTTTTTAAAGCACGGCTACAGCAAAAAGAAAGCAGTCCTTGCCACTGTGCACGAGTTGCACTGCTTGTTCTGAAGTATCTGTATTGACTGTCCTACACTATCAGCTTTTGAAAGAAACACTGTAATTTCTCCTTCATTATTTGACTCTTATTGTTTGCAGGAATAAACAGTACTTAATTATTTATTATTGTTTTCCCATATTTAGCATTTTATATACCATTTTTTATTTTCGGCATAATATGTGAATTTGGACTACCTTTTAAACAGTTAAGAACTATACAAGTATTAATAAAATTTTTTGTTTGTTTTTGTGCTTTTTTAGGCTTGGATCAGAGCAATAGCTAAACAGAGAACTGTAGGCTATTGCTTACTCCGGCTAAAAGGAAAATGATCATGTATTTTCTGCTAAAGCAGATATTTATTGTTCTCTGCAAAACATTGAGCAGAGAGAAGAGGCAATCCTCGATTATAAGCGTTATTTCCATGTGTGTACATTTCTCAGCTCCAGCTGTAGCTTTTCATCTTCAAGGACAAACTGATATCAATTCAGACAAAGCTGTTGTATGGTAGGAAATGTGATTTGCTTGAAATGTGACATAGGAGTGCCAAGGTAAACTCTAAGATCTATTTTCTGCAATCTTTGACTTTAAAGGTGAAAAGCCTGTTAAGACATCTGAAGGTAAAATGGCTGCCCTTTCTTTCGGCTTCAAGTTTAAAGGTTAGACTTTAAACTGAGTAGATGACTCTGAGGAATCTAGTTTCAGAAACTGTTTTATTTATTAAGGTATTTTTAGCACAATGTTTTCTCCATACTTCAGACTAGATGTTTGAAGTTTTGTTTCTGGTTCAGCTAGTTCAACTTAAATGAGTATAGGCTTTTGCTTTTGTGTTATTCAAATTTCTGCAGTTAACCTGCATGAAAGGCTTGTTTCTGTCTGCAAAATCCTGATAGCAGCCAATTTCATTCTTGCAATGTGAAGGTTTCTTGACTACAAAGTTCTGACTGCTGCTAATGTGCTCTCTCATTTATTTGGGCTAATGGTTTTATGTTCTTTGAACCAAACTTGGACATTTTCTGATCTTCCTTTTTCTGAGGAGATAGGAGTCTTGGGCAATTGTGTACATAGATTGTGGAATCAAATTTTCTTACCAGTTAGAATCTATACATTTTGGATTAACTTCTTTTTCTCTGCAGTTTCTCTTTTCTGCTCCAGCTCTGAATGGTCAATATAATTCTAATTGGGCTGAGAGGGATGCAACTCCTTCACTAGATGCTTCATCAAACTCTGATCATAAAATCAATTCATATGAGTTCCTTTCAGCCTATTGCACTGTGATGCTCAAATTGGTCAGAGCTGATATTTGTGTTTGCTTTGTTAGTGCAAACCTTTTGGAGGAAATGAAAGCCACTTTTGGTATTGAATGACACAAAATTAATTCCAGCTCCATCAGAGTAAAACCTTTACCTGAAAATTCAGACTTACAGTAAGAACCCAAACTCTTCCCTCCCATGAGCAACAAAATAAGACTCCTTAAAGGGCAACATGAGTTTATTAAATAACACCTTCTGCACAGGAGGCAAAGCAACCAAATACAGAGGTCACTGACATACGTGGGAGCTATGGCTACCCTGTGGCTGAGACTAAGGCTCGGTTCACAGGACCGGTCAGACCTTAGGCTAATAGTGTCTTTTACAGATTTATTACCTGATCTTAGATGCTAAATGAACTGTGAGTTGATGGCATTTTGTTGGATCTGCTTTTAACTTCAGTGATATCCTATACAACTAAAAATGCTGAGCGAGTTGTACTGATATGGATTATCCTTTCTCTTTGTGCTCAACCACATGGTCTATGTCAGAGGCAGGGTGCCGAGCAGGACGCATCCTTCGGTTGAGGTGGTACAGCTGATACTGAACAAAGCCGCAGGTAATGGTTTAGCAAAATGATGTGGGAATGCATTTCGGTAAAGTGAGGTCTGTTAAAGAATGGTCACTACCAGCAGTTTAAAAGATGTGGCTTCACACTGAAATAACTGCATTTAAAGGGGTGGTACCTACCTCAACTGTCTTGCAGGTCTCCTCCAGCTGTGTGACTATCCCTTGCACCCTGTCGTTGGTCCCCACCAGGACTGCAATGCCATCACTCAGCTCAGACTAGGCAGGAAGGAAAGAGCAAGCAGGAAGGGGGTTAGACACTGTCCCACTTCAGGGTATCACATCTAACTGTGGGGAGCAGAGGACGAATGAGCCATACCAGGGTATTAGCTCTTCTTTCCATCAGAACCAAGGAAACTTGGAGCTTTACCTGCCCACAAGTTACCTGCTAGTACTTTGACATTTGTTTCCTCTCCCAAAACACTATGAAAACATGGATAATTTGAAACTTTCTATGGAGAAGCAGCTGCGGTTTTGAAAGGAGGAAGCACTTTGTTCTAGGAGGCCCTTCTAGATGCTTTTGTTTGAAGTGCTATGTTTCAACAGCCCCAAAATATTCCCACTGGGTTTCTTGACAGAAAAGACTCTGTCTCTTGAGGGGTTGGGTTTTTCTGTGTCTGGCTCTAGCCACACCACTGTGGTATTTCCCTGGGGACTGTAGCTCTTGGCTCTGGAGAGAAGAAGAGGTGGCCCAATGGACCTGGAGGGACCAGGGTGCTACAGAGCCCCTGGCATGAGGGCAGTAGGGCTGGGGCTGTGGTGAGAGGGGAAGGGAGAAAAGGGGGAGGAGAAGGTGGAGGCTGAGCCACGAGCAGGAGGGAAACAAGTGGAAGAAGGAAATGGCCTGAGTGTGGGGAGGGGGCTGACTGTGAGGTATCCTTAAGAGAGTAGAGACAGAGAAGCTAGTCCCTAGGGAACTTGGTGAGGGTGCTGGGGAGGGCGAAGGGCCCTTGGCACATGCCTGCAGTGACAGAGGAAACCATGTCTGTGGCCTCCACAGCTTTCTGAAGGATCCTGCAGTCTCTGGGTTATGCCTCCAGTCTTGGGCTTGACAGCCCCTTTCTGCAAGCACGCTGGGAAGGAAACCACTGCTTGCAAATCTACATGCAAAGGGAGCGATCAGTGGCACAGATTCGGTCCAAGAAACTTCTCCTCGTTCTCCCTCCTTTTTTGATTGAAAAGGATGTTTGTAATTACTTTCCTAAAGTGACTTCCCATTTGTAGTTTCCACACACAAGCAATTGTGTGACAAAGTTAGAGGCTGGTATTGCAAATTTGGCCTGTCTGATTGCTTGCCCCACTGGGGCCCTCCAGAAAAATGAGCTGTTTATCTCAGGAGGATAACCCAGTGAGTCAGGTTTTAAATTAATACTGTATTAAAAATAAACAAGTCTTTTACTGGTGACAGCAAGGGCAGGGGATGTTAGGTACATCCTGTGCTGCCAACTATTGAATATTCCTGCATTCACTTGCAGTAGGAGATTTTTCATTTAACTTTTCTTAAAAATGGGATGCTTCAAGGCAAAAGTACCTGATAGTTAACTATTTGATTTGTAATGATCTGTTCTCTTTCCAGTTCATGTGTTGGAAATCCCACTTGTTCTTCTGATCAAAAGCACTGGAAGAGATCAGGAACCTCAAAAGAGAGATCCTCAGCTTCACATCAGTCGCTGTCTAAAATGTTTACTCACTATACTAGCAAAAATTGAGACACTGTGATATCTTTCTGTGTGATTTTTCATAAATTTATTTCCCTGTGTTTCTAAACAGTTCCTACAGATTTGTGTGAGCCTTTCACTCACACACAGGAATGGCAAAGGCACCCCTAGGTCCATTTGGAAACTCGCAGGAAGCCCATGGGAATACTTTCCTGTCAACAGTCCTGTCAGTTGCTGGGAGGACTATGAGATACAAAAAGATATTTACCTTCTGTCGCTGGTAAACGTTTGTGAGAGGAGCAACTTGACAGTCTTTGTGGGCACCAAAGACTTTGCACAGGGAGCAGGTGGGCATTTCACAGTTCAAACAATATATATTAATTCTTTCATCTTCGTGCTCTTCACACATTGGCTGGTCACACTTCCTTTCGGGTCTGCAAAAGAAAACAAGTTTAAAACAAACTTGGTGCTCAGGAGTTTCTAATGACAACACTTAAGGTATCAGCATGAAATACGGTACATTCGTATAGCAGTGTCCAAGGCTGACCTGCATACTCAGCATAACCTTAAACCTGCTACACGGGATGACTAAATAGAGAGCGGAACAGTTTAATGTCTTGACACAACAGGGTGTAATGACAATATAGCAACATGACTTCATACGGGGATTCCAGCTGGGAGTGTGACTGAACCCTCACTCATATTTAAAAATGTAAATAACCTCACCAAGACTGATCTCAGACTACTCCTGTACTTTAATTAGCATGTTACCTAACATCTGTTTGAAATATGAAACACATGTAATTCCTTTTGGGTTCATCATGGGCTCTTGGCCTTAATGCAGCAAAGCTCTTATGCAGGGGACTAATTGGAAGCAAGAGTTTTAGGTATGCCCTTAACTTTATATCTCTGCTGGTGAGCTTTGTGAGGCCCAGGTCAGGACTGGCAATATCAAACAGGACTGGGTCCTTACGGCCTTTACACTAGGCCAGCAACCAAAATACGGTCTCACACAAATTAATTTTAGCCGCATGGCCCATGTTTAGCTTGTACAGTGTCTAATCTAAGTGTTTAACAGTAGGTAACTTGATTGTACCCATCAGCAAGGGCATGGGTTACACAAGAAGCGTTCCTCTCCTGTGCTAAGCCAGCTGTCACCAGATTATAGCTCAGTCCTGACCTTCTCTTCACCAGAATGATTCAGCCATATACATACAAGTCAATCCCTGCTATTTTAGGAACTAATTTAGTTGTAGCTTCCTTTAAATGAGCTACTTAACTGATTTCCCCAAGTGTAAGTGAAAGCTCTGGTCGAGTCCTTGTGGGCAGGCTGATGCTTTTCTGAGCCCATGCTTCAGGCTTAGCACCCTGAGCACATCTGCGGCAAGCATGTGAGTGCGTGAGGATGTGGTACCGGATGACAGGGTCAGTAGGTTGATGGAGGGAGTGTGCCTGGGGGTTCAAGCCTCCAAATGTTGCCCCTCCTACTGTGGCAACTTTAAATATTATTTGCAACATAAGCCATTATCCCCTTCTGTTACCATTTGTAAGGAGAAGTATGACTATGACCTGTAGCAAGTGGAGCAATGGCATTATATAAAAGTATCTTTTCATCATTAGATAGAAAATATTTTCCAGAGCTATAAAATTTAATGTAATTACCTGGAAATATTTTTTTTAAAGCTGTTCTACAGAGCTCTGTAGTAAGGAGGCAACCAGTCATTCTACTCAAGTTTTAAAATGTATGGAAAAATCATTATTTTAGATTATATTACAATAGAGTTTTTCTATACAGTTTGATAGAGTAGACATGGCATTTATTTTTTAATGACAAAGTACAGGTTTTCCCTTTTGAAGGGAATGGAATGTCATCAATTAGATGCATTTTAAAAAGGATCAAGCAACAAAGAAAATCTCATGAATTCATATTTTTTAATTTCAGGAGGGCACTGGAATTTAAAGGGTTCATAAGGAAAATCTGTAATCTGCAATATAACATGATACACCAGGATAAAACAAGATGGACGATTCTGAAGAAGCCTGTATTATTTGGGTCAGATTTCCAGCATACATTTACATAAGGGTCTCAGTACATCACATCCATCATCATTTCAATGCTAGCCAAAAGAGGTGTGTCTCCACTATAAAAAATGTTTTACATTGTTTGCAGTTGACTGCAAACAGCCCCTAACATATTCATATTATAGTGGGAGGGCCCACATGTGAGGGCAATAACAGACAATTAATTTCAAAGTGATTAATTAAGCCTGAAATAGCTGCTCTTCCTGCAAATATTTACAAGACCAGAACCAGAAACTACTAAAATGTTATTTAACACTGGAATGGTGCCACTAGCATGAAAGGCACATCGCACAGGACTAAAAGGTGATGGTGTCAAGCAAGTTCACCCAGAAGTAGCCAACCTTCAAAGGTGCCGCAAAGAGCTGGAAGAAACCTGGCAGAACTCCCTGAACTAGTCGGGTCCTGAAGACAGTGACAGAAGACTAGAAGTAAACAGATCTACAGTCTCCTTCCTAAGCTGTGCAGAAGGAGACATTTCTAGCACAACATTCCCTGACTTCAGAGGGGACCCTCTAGGTCTATGCTGGTGTAACAAAGGCCAAAACACAACCTCTAAGTTTAAAACGGTTGCTGCTCCTAAAACAGGAGATTAAAGAGTAACTGATAGGAAAATGACAGCATGGCTTTAGCAGAAGAAAAGATTCATCACAGATGTGCGTGTGACCAAAGCAGCAACAGGTTGCTGAAATAACTTTGTGCTCTCATTCTCTGACTCCGCTCTTTGAGATGCCAAGCCTACGTTTGATTGCCACAGGCTTATTCTCTTCCATTAAAATTAGATTTGAACCTTAATGTGTGGAGTGCTGTTCATGTTTTCTGGAGAGAAGGATTCTCAGCACTGGTAAGGCCACACCTTATGGGGTCCAGTTCTAGGCTCCCCAGTACAGGATACACACAGACATACTGGAGAGAGCCCAGGAAAAGGTCCTGAAGACGATTAAGGGTCTAGAGCATGTCTCCTGTGAGGAAAGGCTGAGAGAGCTGAGACTTTCAGCCTGCATAAGAGAAGGTTCAAGGGGATCTTAACAATAACCTTGATCTTATCAATACCTTCAGTTATCTAAATACCTGAATGGAGGGTGTGATGAGGATGGAGCCAGGCTCTTTTCAGTGACACCCAGTGCCAGGACCAGAGGCAGTGGGCACAAACTGAAACACAGGAGGTTCCCTCTGAACATCAGGAAACGCTTTTTTACTGTGAGGGTGACTGAGCACTGGCACAGGTTGCCCAAGGAGGTTGTGGAGTCTCCTTTCTTGGAGATACTCAAAAGCTGTCCAGACATGGTCCTGGGCAACTGGCTTGACCTCCAGGGGTCCCATCCAATCTCAGCCATTCTGTGATTCCGTGATTTGGTGAGGAAGTGCAAAGTTGCTGGGCACATAAAAGAGCACACCTTAATTAAGGATATAGTAAGACCTTAGGAAAACTGCTGTTTTATTAGAAAGCATGTTTTTCTTAGGATTTTTAAAAATCCAGAAATGTCTGTACTGAAATCCTGATTCCAACTTTGATAGTGTTTTTACTGAAGACCCTAAGATAGCTGTAGTCCTTCCTGTACCATCACATCACCTAGTGCCTGCACCTGGTCAGGGGACAAAATCTGTATGACTGTATGAGGCACAGTTAGGTCATTACAGAATCACAGAATCACAGAATCATTAAGGTTGAAAAAAACCTTTAAGGTCATCAAGTCCAACCATCAACCCAACACCACTATGCACACTAAACCATGTCCTGAAGTGCCACGTCTACCTGGGTTTTTAGCACTTCCAGTGAAGATATTAAACTGTATTGGTCCCAGTATCAATCTTGGGCAATAAACCACTGATCATTGGTTGCCATCTGACTTCATGCTGCTCACCATAACCCTTTGAGTCTGGCAATTCAGCCAGTTTTCAGTCCACTTCACTGTCCACTGTCCACAGTAGACCTTATTTCATCAGTTTGTCAATAAAGATGTTACAGGACACAGTGTCTGATCATCTTCTCTTATGTCTTATCAGAAAGTCTAGATAAACAACATCCACTGCTCTCCTCTCATTCTTTGAGTTAGTCATCTCACTATAAAAGGCTATGAGGATGGTATGAGGTTGGTCAGGCATGATTTCCCCTTTATAAAACCATGATGATTATTTCTAATCACCTTCTTGCATTTTATATGTATGAAAATGGTTTCCAGGAGGGTTTGCTCAAACAATTTTGCTCAAGAGTGTGAGGATGACCAGCCTGTAGTTTCCCACTTTGCACTGCTTGAAGATTGGAGCAACATTTGCTTTCTTCCAGTCCAGTCCTCAGAAAACTATCCCAATTATCACAATGTTTCAAAGATTATTGGGAGTGGCCTTGCAATGACATCAGCCAGCTCCCTCACCACTCATGGGTGCCTCTTATCAGGATGTCTGCTTTTTTTAATATTCCCTAACCTGATCCCCTTCCCCCAAGGGTAAATTTTCCTTGCTGTAGACTTTTCCACTGGTCTCAGGGACCTGGGATTCCTGAAGACCGATCTTACCAGTAAAGATGGAGGTGAAGAAAGCATTGAATGCCTTGGCCTTTTCTATGTCCTTTCTATGTCACAGGAGTCCCTGCTCCATATAGCAGTGGACCCACACTTTCCCTAATATTCCTTTTGCTGCTGATGTACCTGTAGAAGCTCTTCTTGTTAGCCTTCATGTCCCTCACCAGATTCAGTTCCAGGTGGCCTTTGGTTTTCCTAACTCCATCTGTACATGCTGGACAGTGTCTCAAAATATTCCTGAGTCACCTGTCCACCTTATTTTTGCTTCTTTTTTAATGATGTGATTTTTTTTTTTTTTTTAATCAATGCATTATCCTGCCACCATTGCTTGAGTTCCTGTACGTGGGGATGGACCTTTCTTGAGCTTGGATGAAATGATCCTTGAAAATCAACCTCAATGATGGACTCCCCTAAAAGCAGTGAAAAGCCCATCAATACCCATGGTAGAAATGGGTCTTGAAAAATTAGAAGACCAAAAAAGTTCATATGGACATAAGGATTCCTGAAACTCCATTACACTAGTACTGTCGTGAATGCCTGGCCCAAGAAAACCATTGGTGCAGGTGAGCTTGGGGCTTTGTCTCTGTGGGGAGCTGGAGACGATCCAAGTGGTCTCTCTCCTTATCTCTTTCACTGCACAGTCTGTGGAGCTCCTCCTGCAGCTCTCTTGGTTAGAGATGTGTGGGCAGGGAGCCCATCTCCCCAGCCCTGCCGATCCTGAGATCCCCAGGCATCCCGGCAGCCCATCCTGGAGAACCGTGTGCTCCCTTGGGAGCTCTGACTGAGACCTCTGAGGTGTCAGAGATAGCTGCTCTTGGTGGCGCTGACTACTCCATCCTGCAGCATGTCACCACTGTGGCAGAGCCAACGCACGCTGCCCTCAGCACAGCGCCTGGTCCCTGCTGCGCACACTGCTGCACACACTGCTCCATCTGTGCTCGGGGCTGCAGGGACAGCCTGTACCTAGGGCTCTCCCTGGTAGGTGCAAGGCAGAAACAGCACTTGACCCTCTCCGGTCGGGATTCAGCTGGTAACAAAGCCCAAAGCACTTTGTGATCAGGAATATCTGGCTAAGCTCGTTAGAGGCTGCCAGGGCTTGTGAGAGGTTACAGCCTCCTGTTGCTACCCTTTCCTGGTGGCAGCAGGCACCCTGATGTTCCTCAGATAGTTCAGGTAATCAGTGGCCTACAGATTTTCAAACATTGGTTTAATATTTTAGCCAACTCTATTTCCACTGGGTTCAGTCCTTTGCCCTCCTTTAAAGCTTTGTAAGAATCATGTCCTGCTTGAAGATTTCTTTCCTTGTGTTGCTAATAGATTCTAAATTGGGCAACAACCTACTCTGCCATCAGCCGGAATTTGATGAGCAATGGGATAAAAGACCATATGATGTGATTTTTAGGAATAGGAGGGGCTGCATGTGAAGGCTTGGACAGACCCTCCCAACTTCATAGCCCAGCTCCTGCCCCAGCTTTTATTTAAAAACAACCAATTCCTTAATTCAAATAGAAACTCAAATTTTAAAAAATATTTGTCTCCGAAGCAGGAGACAAAGCTTGTTACCTGGCTGAATTCCCCTCACTCTCCTAAGTTCAGGTGAAAAGCAGCTGGGAGCTGGCATCACTCTGGCATTCACAGTTATGGTGAATTATACCCACAGGAGGACTTAGGGGAAGAGACTCCTGTCTGGAAATAACAGGTGCTGCCAGTTTGAAGGGTTGTCTCGGGAAGAAACAAGGATGCAAAGGTCACATCTCACCCTTCTTCTTATGTACTTCTGCCAGACCCCAGCCCTCAGTTTGGAAGAGTCTGGTCCAAAAGGAAGAAGCAGAGAAAACTTGATTTCCCATGACTTTTTGGTTTCAGTGGGACAGCACGGGGTAAAGCCATGGCAGATCTTGCTCACATTCTCATGGGAGCCTGAGGAATGTTAGGCGGAGGGAGGTAGGCATTGAGGCCTACAAAGTGCCAAATACTTTAGATAATGCTTCTATGCATTGCTGCTGCTACGTAACCCTAATGATAACTTGCATTTTAAGGACATACATGAAGGTTAAATTAGTACCTTAACAGACTAAATAAATGATCCTTTTGGACAAATATCTAAGCAAATATATGTTCATATTTTTATTTTTTTCTATTGTCCCCTTTTATTCATCATGTTGTGTTTTACTTTTCTGGAATTAAAAAAAAATCTATTAAATTTCTTCCATTTCTGTTTAACTGCTATTTTGTTCCAATTGCCCATGAACTACATGGGAAAAGGAGCTGCATTTCTTTTTAAGTTAAATACAACTGTGAGCTGAAAAAAATAAACAAAACCAAGACACACATAAAGCCACACATGTCCAGCTTATTTGGTCAAAAGCAAAGTCCACCACTGTAGCTTTGCTGCTTCATTTCCTCAGAGTTTTTCCTGACTAAAATAATATTTGGGTATCAATGACACACACAAGGGCAGCTGACCTCCCCTTGGCACTGAGCATGAAGGGCAGCAGAAAGGACAATTTTAAGCCAACTTCGTGCTCTCCGACGCTTTGGAGCTCCAACCTATGCCCAGATACAACAGTCCTTGAAGGGACTCAAATGACAGAGAATAGCCAAAGCCACCGCTGGGCTCCAAAATGTCCTCTCTGCTGGTGACTGTCCTCCTCTGCCGGAGGAGGGTAGAAGTGTCCTAAGCCACGCAAGGTGCCAGGCTCTGACACTTGTGGCCACCTTCTCCAGTGATGCCACCTCATTGTCCCTGTGAAAGCTAGCTCCTTGTTGGGATGGGAAGACTGTCAGGGAGCATGGCCAGGATTACACCTTCTTTCAGGTGTACAAAACACCCTGCCATACAAAACTGGCCCTACGGATGCACCCTGGTGACAATAGGCAGCTTGCCTGGGTGAGAGCTGCTTGCTTGGCAGCCTGGGACCAGGCTTAGCTTCCCCCCTACTAAGTTCCCTAAGGTGATACCGTGTGTCTGCCCCACCCCAGGGCAAGAGAGACGAGAACGCAACATTTTTCTATTGCTGGATTCATTACACACCCTATGCAGGCAGTTAACATTCAGGAGTAATCTTACTTTTTAGGATTAACCCATTCTTCTGCCCTGGGGTCCTGATTCTTGTGTAGACCCTACACAGCGCTGATATATACTATTTCTGGCTATTCTTTCTCTTTTATGGAGTCCTAAATAAGACTTGATTTCTTGAGTTTACATCCCAAGCTGACAGGAATGGAGATTTCTTTTTATTGAGTTTTGATTTGACATTATGATGCAGGATATCTTCTGTATGAAATTCAGTTTTCTTCTTGTTTGCGCTGTCTGTCTCTCAGGATTTTCTAACAAGATTTGAAATTTCTTTTCCTTTTTTAGCATGAGAACACCCAGGGTAAAGTCAAACAAGAATAATCTGAACTGTTTTTAAAATAAACAATGTGAACTTAGCTACTTTTCCCTTATTCATGTGAGTAGCCACGCTGACCTCAAGGGCTTTGCTTGCATGGGTAAGTGTTGCTCGTGTGAATAAGCACAGCACAATCCTCTGCTGTAAGTGGAAGCGGGGAAATTCAGCATCTATTTGGATATGGTTTTCTGTGCTCAGTGGGAGCTGACTTCATTGCACAGCAAACAGACAGGCATGCATGGCAGCATGATCCCTTTCTGTATTTCCAAGAGAGAAAACAACTAAATCAACCTCACGGGTGCCAAACAGAAAGACCAAAGGCCACCAGTTTCCTAAGACACGTCTGCTTTTGTGACAAACCTCCTCTGAAGGGCACACATTCACTCGTTACCTTGTGGACTCCTGCTTGTAGATGTCGATGATGTTCTCCACCAGCAGGTTCCTCTGCAGCCCGTAGACGCCGTGCCGGTCGAGGACGACTTCGTGCCTGCAGGAGGGACAGCGAAAGCGGCCTCCCGACGCCACGGTTGTGCCTCCCCTGGTCGGCAGGTAGGGGTTGGAGGCCTGCTCTTGCCAAGCAGCCCAAGGAGAGGTGAGTAAGGCCATGAAAAACCATGAAAACCTCTTTCAAAAGCACTGGGGTGAAAACACTTGGAGCAAACCAGTTGTCAGTATGTCGAAGGAGAGGGTAGCTCCAGCCAGCTGACCCCAGGAAAGGGCCCAGTCACTGCAGGCTGGGGGGCCAGTGCCCCCGCTTGCATATGTGGCCATGTGCCCTGGCTAACAGGCTGCGAACTCAGCCTCGGCCCCCAGGACTCTCAACTTTCGCTTTAAATCACTCCCCCCTGACCCCCCACGCCCCCAGTCTTACTGACTGTGAAAAGCATGTAAAAATGAAACATGTAAAAATCTGCTTTTCCGTTCATTTCAGCAAGTGCCGCTCGGGAAGCAACGCTTTCTGCAGGAAGAAACCTACCTGGAAAATGTCGCTGGCACACTTCCGACAGAGGTTGTGCTGGCAGGGCAGGATCACCACAGGCTTGGTGAACATCTCCAGGCAGATGGGGCAAATCAGCTGTTTCTCCAGGTTATCCATGGTTTGCTGCTCTTTGGAGAAGGACTTGTAGTTCAGAGAAGTGCTCATCCCTAGGTGCTCCAGGGGCATACGCTCAGGGTCACGGCCTCGTGGAGGGGTTTCCGGGTTAATTTCCCTTGAAATAAGTCCAAGGCTGTGCTGCAGTCAGAGGCTCTCCGGGTTGCTCTGGCCGGAGGACATTGTTTGAACGAAGGGGCCGAAGGGAGCCGGGGCTGTTTTTAGCAGCTCGGCGTCACAAGATGCCATCCTGCCGTGCCCATATAAGCGCGTGAGA